GAATGCCACCTTTTTCTGCCAACACGTATGACAGGCCTAAGAACTACTGCACGTGCACCATTCAGAGAAGAATGACTAGGGCCAGGCTGAGAACAGATCACAGGCTGTGCATTGCTAGAGCTGGTTTTGCCTACAAACGTGAAGAGCACGCACACTACCACATGGCACATGAGAAAAACTACTAAGATCTCTACTACTACATATTGACAGTGAGTTCTGCTCTCCGGACACAACCTACTGACTACACCCTTCACCGTTTTTCACTCATGCTCAGTCACATGAGGTGCGGAGAACAACGGGACTACATGCATGAGTGCACAAGCAAACTGTTAGCATCACACTCTGCACCTGAAGAACGGAGCCCCGAAGTTCTGCGCACACTCAGTTGCCAGGCTTCCTTCAGAGGCAGCCATCCAGCATGCCCACAATCTTTTTTTCAGTCTTGGTATTTTATGGTCTGTCATTTTTTGTCTAGACGCCTAGAAAGTCCACAGTTGAAATCCCTGTGTGCAATACAACAAGATCTATTTTACTGCAAGAACGCGAAACATAAAACTACTTTTAATCAGGTCACTGTGACCCTTTGTTTATCGGTCTATACACCTCAATTACAGTGCAGCCCAGTACAGTGGTCAGTTCACTAGAGCTGGGAGCTCACTTAACAGCTAAATGACTTTGCAAATAACTCCTCACTAACCAGGAAAAGCATTTTACTCAGGTGACTATATCAACTCTGCCTGACCCAAATGCAACCCCATGCACAATATATCCAGTAAGAATGCAGCAGCCCAAATGCTTGGGCAGTACTAAAAAGGAACCCACTGACCGCATGGCAGCCCTCCTATGTACGTTTGTGGTACTTACATGTGCTCACTGTTAATTGATGCTATTTTAATTGGCATGACCAGACATGACTGAGCAACTCGTTAGCTCTGTGTGTATTTGCAAACTCTGAGCCTGTGAAAGCGCAGCAACTACACAAGACTTTTTAAACAAACACACGTACTTTGCTGCAGGGAAGCGTGAAAGGCCTTTATTAGAATGAGGTACGAAGATGTGTTTGGACATCGCTGCTGACCACATAATTTTCTTCTGCTGATGCTACACTTGTGTCAGTTTGATTTTGTACCCTGACTTCTCCCTGGCCTGCCCTCACAGGAAAAGGATGTTCTTTTGACCGGTGAGGAAATACTGAGTACATCCTGCACAGTTTGTTATACTACTATGCATGCCTTCTTTTCTTCTGAAGAAATAATAGCACAATACTTTAGTCCATAAGGCATATTTTAGGCTTGAATAAAATCTCCTGTAACATGCATAAATTGCTATTCTCTCTCAGAACTGCAGAAGAAAGAATGGGGAAATGGCTTTGTTAACACTTCCACAAAAAGCAAAACAGATCCTTGAGGCAGCACAAAGCAGAAGTTTCTGAGAAGAGACAGGATATATATGTATATGACTAAAACGGTGAAGACTGGGAAAAAGGCAGGAGGAAGAATAAATGTTAAATTTCACAGGCTGAGAACTGCTTGGGCTTGTACATACCTTCTATTCTCTCCAACACAAGAGGAGCAAGGGGACAGTTCCTCTGTCTTTCATTTCCTTGTCTTCACAGATCCACTTGCCAAACCCCCTTCCTCTATACTTCCCAATACGTGCTCTTTTCCTCCAGCAACTCTCTAGCTTTGAGGGTCTTGTGCAGCCCAACTTTTGTCTGTGCTGCATCCTACTTTCATGTTTTTGAACTCCAGAAGGTTTCTACAACTCCACTTTAAAAGCAAAATACATACACGTTAGTCATACGCTTCTGTACAGTAAACTTTCTTAAGTAAAAAAACTTGTCTGACAGGTGGATCCTGAAAAAGAACATTCTTAGAATTTAAATCCTGTGAAGACCAATGGGATACTCTGTTATGATCTGCTATGACATCACAGAGACCTAGAGTGAGCGTGAGCTGGATAAAATCCTCAGAAAGAAGCCCAGACACTGTTTATAGGTTTCAAATGACAGAGAATCACCTTGCAGCAGTAATAAATCATCTTCATTTTTTAAGTACTGTGCCTTCCAGTTTAAGACTTGTTTAAAACTACAGAATGAAATATTTTTCTTCCTGGAAAAGGTGTTTTGTTTTTTATTTTTAATATTCAATCTTTGGTCCTGAGAGTTTCCACGTATTTTCCTGGAAAGGTTGAAGACAGTCCAAAGATACAGTGGAAGAAAAAATGGGGTATCTAAGAATACCTGGGGTCATACCTGTCCTATGACGCTCTTTATTTAGAGAAGCAGAAACATATTAAACCAATATCAGCTTTAAAATTCTGTTAAGAGAATTAAGATAGGTCTAAACAAACTAATGCCAAAGCTCTGTTACAAGTCTGAAAACTGAGGGTTGGATGAACTCCAGGAGGACCGAGTGAATTTTAACAGGTGGTAAGAGTCATAAATGGTACGTCTCGAAAAGAATAGTTTTGCTTGTCAACAGGATGCCAGAAAACTTCCCCAAGAGTAAAGGGATAGCTCAACAATAGTTTTAACAATCTGTCTGCATAGTCTTCCGTTAAAATCTGAGAAGTTAAAATAATCTTTTGGAGATGAAAGACTAAATCACAGCCAGTGTATATCAGAAACAAGTAGGGAAA